CAGTCGGGGTAGGCGGGCGGGGGCCGGGGGGGGGGGGCAGACTATCCTCTGGATTTGTGATATAGAGAATGAGAAGTCATGCATGCCGAGCAAAGCCAGGGGGCTCGGAGGGCTTTATATCAGAGTTTGTGTATGTTACCATTCAAGCAAATCAAGTTTGAGCACTCAAAGCTGCCTTCACTACTAGTTTGAGTTGCAGCACTGAGTCCTTATGCCTTTGAATATTGTGTCAAATGGTTACTGTTTCTCATACACTGTGTTCAGAACTGAGCACTCATGGAATATATTCAACTCAAAATACTTATTTTTTTGGGAATTAAGACATTCCATTGAATTGATCTATTGTTATAGAATATACCTGAATTATCGCCAGTTACTTACTGTATGTATATTTTGAAAGCTCCACTGTGTGTTTTAAAGTGATTAACTCAAAATTATACTTATCATTTTTATAAGCAGACTCCACAGATCAGTAGAAGTTCTAAATAAACCAACTATACACTACTAGGAGGTGGTGTTGACCAAAAGCTGAGCAAAACACGGAGTAGAGATTTGGACTTGTATTTACCAGGAGGAAATAAACATGAACCTAAATGAATAAAATGTTGCTCAATAATTTCCGGATATGTAAAATAAGTAACTGTTTGTTGACAAGATTGCCCTACAAAATTAAAAGGGAATTATAAGTAAATTATGTACACAACTTATCACTGATAAATGATTTGTTGAAAGTCTAAGATGTACCTTAGATAGCCCTTATGACCATTATTTAAGTTGGTAGTGTTGTCGTTTATTCCATTTAATCTATCCTTGAGGTCATACTCAATATCGTTGTTTTTAAAAGTACAATAGGGGCAACAACACAGCACTAAGGAAGATCTTAAATCACTGCGAGGTCATATAAAGCAAAACAAGAACGAAGTAAGGTCAATGTGAAATATACCTTGTGTTAGATTAATTGGAAGCGAGTTTGTTCAAAAAGACCTTGGCTGGCCTAGCGCACAGGATCAAAATTATGTGGCACAATAATGCACACAAATACATATGTGAATATAATGTCGATTTGGTTATTTACTACATAGATGATGTTATAGTTTGCATGATATAACATGTTTACATTATTTGAAAGTTTTCTTCCTATTTGTTATTTTCAGTTCTATGCCCCATGGTGTGGATACTGTAAAAAGCTGGAGCCGGTGTGGTACGATGTGGGAGCAGAACTGAAGAGCTCCGGATCGCCGGTCCGCGTGGGAAAGATGGATGCTACGGCTTACTCTGGTGAGTAGACGATAAAGCACCTCAAGGTCTTCCCTAGGAGGCTGTTCGTCCCCAGGTGAATATTTCATGTGCTGGAGGCAGATATAGATCAAACTAATTGACAGTGTTGTTCAACAACATGATGATGCCTTGAATGTTAAAAGGTCAGGTCAGGTCTTATTTTAACCAACATAAAGAAGATAAGAGTTTTTATTTCATAGTGACATTACCATGATATGTCAATATTATGGTTAACCCTAACCCATGCAGGAAAATATTAATGTTGTGAGTACACTTTAAGATAAATTGCATCAAAATGTGCTGACTGGAATGATCCATTATCGTATTGATTACCTGTCAATAAGCGAACAGTAGAGCTGCTCGATTATGGCAAGAATCATAATCTCGATTATTTGGGTCAATGATTATTAAAAACTATTATCCATTTACTTTGAAAACATCCATTTATTGAACTTTTTTTTTTGAACAGTATGTTTTTAACAGTTGATTACCCTGAACTCTAAGTATAATTCAACTGAAAAACTAATACAAAAAAAAAAAATCATTTTATTTCGATTATGTTCTTTTCATAATCGTTGCAAGCCAAAATCGTAATTGTGATTTAAAATACGATTTTAATTGAGCAGCCCTAGCGAACAGTATCCTTAAGTGCCTAATAAACACAGGATAAGGTTGGCTATATATGACAAAAGACTAACATTTGAAACAGGACTAGAATAAATAAATGGAAAAATAAATTGTATAATCTATGGGGCTTTTAAAAAGAATAGTTCAGTTTTTGGGGAAATATGCTTATGAAATTGTAGCAGACATTGATATAATCCTCATTTATTTATCTCATTTTAACTTAGCCATTAGCTTAGTTTAGCTTGGCTACAACATTTCTGTAGCTACGTGAGAGTGCTATACATTGACTCATCTTGTTATTGGCAAACAAATGGGCTCAAATCCCGAAGATTCAAATGTTCCATCCACTTCCTGATCCAACTCACTCGCTGAATCTTAATTAGAGAAGTTATTTCAACCCCGTGAGAAGATGAAAACAGGATAACTTCCAAACCTTTAGAAGAGAAAGATGGTTCTCAGTATAATAATATACTTTCGTTTGAGATGCTATATATTTTTTCTATTCTGCAGGAATGGCGTCAGAGTTCGGTGTTCGAGGTTACCCCACGATAAAACTGTAAGTGACTCTCTAAGCTTTGTGCATCAGAACATTGATTTAAATTAAACCTTTTTTTGAACAAAGCCATAGTTGACTATTTAGATGGATTCAAAGCTAAGTTTAGTGTAATCATATATAAAATAACATACAGCCAAGCTTACTTCAATTAGCTTAATTTTCTTAACCTCAGCTTTCAATAGGCTTACATAAATCCATATAAGATTAAAGAGCTTATTGAATTTTGCACAGACCTGCAGGCTCTGGACACAGTATGATTATAAGTCTAAAACAATATGCAGATTACTCTGTAGAGCCTCTAGTGTTTAGTATTTGATAATCCTGTGTCAGAGGCATTGATCCACGGGCATTTTTTGAGGGTGCAATTTGTTGTTGTATTATACTATAGTGTGACTTAAGTTTGTATTGTGTTATTATAAGGATTGTTTTACTTGCTTGTTGTCTTTTTTCCCCTTGAGGTTTGGCCTTTTGAGATGCCGTTAGATGTCTAATTCAGGCGGGAACAAGGTGTTGTTGTCGCTTCCTTAAGGCATTACTAGTGACAGACTCTCTTCACACCTTTTGAGCACAATTGCATTAGATACGGCTCTCCTGAATGCGTTGATTGTATTTTTCTTGGGCGATAAATTGTTCAAATTGAAATGAGGCTCCTTTATCTAACTTTTTCAGGTCTTTCTAAAAATCACTAAGGTGTATCTTGTATTAATTAAGAAATCAGGAGTGCTTGATACTATTTCAACTATATCAACTGATTTTCCTTCCGCTTGTTTTCTGAAATGTCATTTTTCAAATGTTCAAATGAATGATTTTCTGTAGACGCCAGCTGTTCAGCATCAGAACTCATGTTGACTTGAGAGAAATGATCATCCCATATGAAGAATTTCCTCCATGTATTTGAAACTGAGTCATTTATCCAAACGCTGCCATAATGGGCTCATAATCAAGCTCATTTGGGAAACTGCCACAGGATCACGGCAGGGTTCATAACATTAAACCAAGCAAGTGATGAAACACCCGTCGAAGAACAAGAGATACCTCCCTCGGTGACTTGATTTAGAGTCCCCCCCCCGAGTTCATTAAGCCCTGTGGGCTGATGCAACCTTAGCAATCCTTAATGCATTCTGCTTTTTCTAGGAGCTCTACTCCAGCAGTTTCTCCGGATGGAACTCAATTAGGGACAGTCATTTGTTGTTGTTTTTCAGGGGAGGTGAGAGGCTTTAGATTAATTCGACCTTTTGTGATGAATAAGCTTTTCTTTAAAGATTTGCTGTTTCATTAGAGCACCTTGTAAGAGATTGGTTGGCGTTGCAATGCTCGGCTTTAATTGAGCCGAAGACAGGTGCTGTCTTTAATGGGCTGAAGTAGAGCTGCCACTAATGATTGTTCATTATTATTGATTAAGCTATCGATACATTTTTGTTCTGTTTATCAATTGTTTAGTAAAGAATCGGGGGGGGTGGGGGAATGCCACAAACAAGGTTTAAAAGGCCCAGGTGTCCAATAGCTAAAGATATTCTGTTCACAGCGATGCACTCAGTGGCCACCTCATTAGTTCCTCATTTGTTAGGAGTCAATCGGACCGAAAGCACCTTTGGGATGTGATGGAGAGGGAGACTTTGCCACATGAATATGCAGCCAGCCAATCTGCAGCGTTGAATTTGTTGAAATGCTGTTCTGGGTGCAAAGAGGAGTTTCATTCCTACCCAGTTTTAGAAAGGTGTACCGAAGTTGCCATGAGTGTGTAAAGCAGAGAAACTAGAGCTGGAACTAGCTAATAATTGTCATTTCTGCTTGATTCAAACAACACATTTATTACATCAAAATAGTTGCCGCAAAATGTTCTCTCCATTCACGAATGAAATGATTTAGTTTGCCTCTTTTGCAACATTCTATCTCTTATGCACACTAAATGAGGTTTTTCTGACAAACCAATATCCCAAATGCAAAATTCAATTTCATACAAATGATTTCTAATTAATTCTATTTCACATGAATGTTTCGATCAGTGTCTTCACCCAGCAGCAATTTGACAGCCCAAAATAATTAATGTTGTTTCATTTAAATGCTCAGCCTTTCACTCGTGTTTTGTTTCTGTCTCTGTTCAAGGTTAAAGGGGGATCTGGCCTATAATTACAAGGGGCCAAGGACAAAAGACGATATCGTAGAGTTTGCCAACAGAGTGGCAGGGTAAGCCTTCAATTTTCACATACAAAATACAAATTAAAATAAGTACAACTGTCTTTATTTCCGAGCTGCTCCAATAAGAACCAATCCAAGCAAGCTTATCAACGCAGGCCATATTTCTTTCATAGCTCAATGGGTTTCCCGCTCTGAAGCTCCAGTTTGTGCTACTGTGACTGTTCCTGACATATGCCCCCCCCAGCTTGGCTCTGACTTCAGGGCTGCAAGTTGCTAGATATCCACTGGATGGTGCCACCGGCAAAGAGATCAAGAACAGAGTTTTTTTAATTAATGTTTTTTTTTATTCATCTATTCAAAATCATACATGGACATCATACATTCTACATACAACAAAGTCCAGGGGCAGACAAGCAATTAAACATTACATCAAGTAAATAAAGAAAAATGAAAGAACTTTTTTTGATACTTCAGATTTAATATTTTTTAAATGTCTAATTAGTTTTGATTGCCTTCTTATTCCTAATGTTTATAGTACTAATATATTGTTAACATAAGAATGTCTTGAAGTTTGAGGGTCGAACCTTTGGTCACGTCTTTCTGCTAATAAAACATTCTACATCATACCACAATATTCTACAACACACAATCTCATACAATAAAATTGCCAATAGTTTCTTCTTGTAGATTACAACATGTAAAGGAATATTCAATATCAAGTCCAAATCGTTGCAGTGTCTTTTTTGCTGGATATATTGTGTGTAACATTTCATTTTACATACAATTTATTTCCAATTAATCACATTTGTTTCCAATTGATGTCTCCATAAAGTGAAGCCCAGAAGAATCTTCCTCTGGGCAGAGCTACAGTTTGGATCAAGAACAGAGTTGTTTGTTTTAGCTTGAGTTAACGCGTGCCATTTCTGTCCTGAACTAATCAGCATTGGTTCTTTTTCCCTCCGCAGCCCGGCCGTGAGGGCACTTCCCAGCAAGCAGATGTTCGAGCACATGATGAAACGACATGATGTGCTCTTTGTGTATGTCGGTGGAGACTCTCCCCTCAAAGTAAGCGCCATTTACATCCAAGCACCCAGCTTCAATGCTAAAACTGTGAATTGATTGAACGAAAGAAGTACTGCTTTTGTGTTGTTCCTTGTAGGGACACGGCATGTACAACTGTTAAACACAAATGTATCCAGAGCTTTGTGCTTAAAGCCTTGTTTGCTGTTGTAGGAGAAGTACAACGACGTAGCCTCCGAGCTCATCGTCTACACTTACTTCTTCTCGGCTTCAGAGGTGGTCTTCCCAGAGGTAACGCTTTTTAATTTGCATTCCTTTATTAAATGAACTTAGAAAACTGAAATCCCTTGTATATTTTTTCCATCATATGCTACTGAAACTCTTGAGTTGACACGTCATGGCTACTTTCTAGAGATTAAAGTAAATCATTCAAACTCTTTTAGCCATCCTCCCACAACTGCATTTGGATACCAGCCTTGCTGTCTCTGCAATATGCAAAACAGCACAAGTTTCACAGTTTGCTTCAAAACGGTCTTGTTCAACATTTTGCAGGTGCACGTACATTCCTAGAGTAAAAATGATATATGGGACTTGGTTTTGACTTGAATATCTTTTTGTGTTTTCAGTCAGTAACTTTGCCAGAGCTTCCTGCGGTTGTAGTATTCAAGGATGGAGCCTACTTCACCTATGATGGTGAGTATTTTGTTACCTTGTCTTCATCCACTGCTGCAGTTTTGTCTGATTAGACGACAAAAAGGTACAAGAAAATGTATAAAGGACTAGTGGGGAATACTGTGTGTCCAACTCTCCGTCTTGTTTTCTCTAGCTGTGTTCCTCTAGTTTTCCGGACTCTTCCACTGGTCTTTCATCTTCCTCACCACATTGAGTTATGGTGTGCCTGGCCCATCTTAAAGCACCCAGGGCACTGCCCACTATTGTTTGTGCGGTGAGGCCAGTCGTGTTGTGGTGATTTGACTTTGGGCGGACATGCATAGCACGCCAGGGTGGATGGGGGCGTGAGAGACCGCAGTTAAGCCCAAAGAAATCAGCTGGTATTGTATATACTGTCATTTAAATCCAGGGGCTGAATCACTGAAGCAGCCATCAAGTCTTTACAAGAAATCATATGTGACAAGGGCTTTAGACGAGCGGCTTTGCCCAATTTCTCAGCGCAACAACGTGACTTCCCCACATTCCTCCATGATGTCTTGTATTTTGCTGCTTCTGTGTGCCCTGGCTGGGAGCTGGAAACGGAAGGTAACGGCATCAAGACACAGTGACAGCACAAATGGGCCCCAGTAGTGACTGTTGGGGAGATTCGGTGCACGGTGCAGCGCCCGCAGAACAAAATTCAACTCCTCCATCGTCTGAGAGTTCACTTCCAACTGCTCCACTTGACCGTTACGGAAGGGGGGCTTCCGGCACCAGAATCGCAGCAGTCGAGGCTCGCCACAGCAGACGTTGATGACAAAAACTCCACACTCCGCAGAGTCCTCCAGGACCTTGATACGGAGGATGTGGCGAATGTCTAGCATTGCCATGGCGACGGCATATTAAGCTTGTCAAGCGCTGAGAAGGCCAGCAGCGGGGCAGGATGACATGGTCGTGTCCTTCCTCACACTGCAGATTTCTACTTTCCCCCTTAAGCCTCGGGAAACCGTTGAAGGAAAAAATTCTCTAATTATTATTGGCTATTGTAGGTGAAAATGAATGGAAAATAATGAGTACAGCTCATTAAGCACTTACCTACAATGACAGCTCACAAAGAAATATCCCCACTCTGCGGTAGAGAAAGTAGTCTGCTTCTTCTCTTCTTTTTTTCCAGCAGTAGTCCTCAGCATTTGGTTTCTCTCCAGCTGTGTGTGTCAGAGGATTTTTCACTGAAACCCTGACTGGATGTTAAATTAAGGTATAAATGAGGCTGAGGCGTCTTATGTGGTTTTATGTCCTTCAGTTTGCATGGTGTTATGTCAGGCTGTTTTTATCGGATGCCATTTGGCTAAACATTTGCATAGGCATTCACTGTTTAATGGCAGATGTGACGTTTATTGAAGTGTGAGGCTGCACACTAGCTGTGTTGTTTATCTGCATATGCTTTAGAATATACCATCTCCCTCTTTGTTTTTGTATTCATTTTGCGTTTCAGATTCCAAACACTTATTAGAAATTCCGAGCACATTTACTCTTCTCATTGTGCAGGTCTGGCTTGTTGTGTTTTTTTCAAGCACGAGACACCGCCGAGCAGACGGCACTGTCCAAACACGGCCCCTCGCTTTGTGTAAAAGGATATTTGACATTTCATTGAGCTTTGATTGGTTTAGTACACATCACAAACAGCAGCATCACTTTTTGAAGAGCGCAGTTAAAATATAGTACAGCGCAGAGGCTCATACATATTTAATAACTCTATCCTCAGTTTCAGACTGCTGTACAGGTCTGCGCTGTTATTGTGCTTCAAGGGCCAAAAGTGTTTTGATCATCGTGTGTGTGTGTGCAGTGATACCTTCAGGGCTAGAGCTGTGAGAAGACAAGGAAAATATAATTAGGATGTATGTTAAGTCTAAACAGCTGGAATGTGTTTTTTTTCAAACATTTCTGAATGTGATACACATTAGTTAATACTCATAAGCTGAGCATCAGGCTTACTCTGTTTCAGTGGGTTATGGTTTGGCCTCGACTCGCCTGATATGGATGGGCACATCACGCAGCCAGCTGTGTGGTAGCACTACTTTGCATGTATTTATTGATAGCACTTAAATGACAGGCGGATTAACAGTCCATAATTGTGATGACAAGATGACATCACACTTAAAAAAGTGATAACACACCAATGACATGTGGCGGTTATTTGAATTGGCAAAGTCAACAAGGTTGGTGTGGATGACAAATTGAAGTGCGACCATATATTCCACACATCCCCACTAATCCAATCTTTTAATGTTCTTTTCGTGAAATGTCTGAGCAGATATAGGGGGGGCTGCCTACACACATTAATGGTCCCCAGAGGATACATTTTATTGACTTTAGTGATCCTTTAGTTCCCAATGAGGTCGACATTCGGACACTTGGTTGTTGGTGAAATATCTTAACACATATTTGATGGATTGCAAGTTGTACAAGTGTTCAGTGTCCCGAATGATTAACTCTAATAACTTTGTCGATCCCCTGATTTTTCAAACTGCAATTTTCAGATCAGTGTGTTATTAGTCCATCATTTTCTACAAATATTCATGGTCCCCAGAGGATGAATCAAAATGACTTAAGTCACCATGAGGTTGAAATGTTGTTGTTGAATTTCAGTGACATTTATCAACAACAATGTGATGGATTTCCATAACCTAACAATCATTCATTGTCCCCAGAGGATGAACTGTAACTTTGTGGATCCCCTGATTTACATTTCGCACCATCATCTGGTCAGAATTGTAATCTGCCCAATAATTAAGTTTCTGGCCCAATACCTACAAAACTAATGACATTCTTATCAGCCTCATCCGCGCTTTGTGTTAATTAGCAAATGTTAGCATGCTGACACGCTAGGCTGGAGAATGTGCTAAACAACCAGCTTTCTCCCATATCAAGAAATGATGTACAGATGACATGGTTCCCATCCCTCACTCTAGCTATTTGTTGTGATTATATTACATTTTTGGGAAATTGTATATCGTAGGAAAGTGAGACATGTGGTCCAACAATAGCACCAAGCTTTCTTTTATCAATCTTTTCAGCCTCTGCCCCCTCCCGTGTTTGAATTGTCTTTGATATTTTTCTCCCTCCTCTCTCTCTCTTTCACGTTTCTCTGCTTTTGTTTCCGCGCTATTTGCATTGTCTTGGAGGTCGTCTACGCCATTAACCTCCATCCTCGAGACGTGTCAGAGCTGCCTCTTCCCCCGCGCTAAAAACTCTGACACTGGATCATCCTCGCTCCACCCACTGTCTGTTGCTATTCCCCCTCCTGCCCCTCATGTTCCTCTGCAGTCTCCCGCTGTGTGAACTCTGGGCTGACAGGCTCCTGTAGAGCGCTATGGTGATTGCGAGGTTGGCACCCAGGACGAGAGCCGCTCTAATTTGCCTCAAGGTGAAGTAGATTCAGTCGATGTAGAGGTTCATCAGGCTGTACCATCCCAGTATGGGGCCTTTGGCTCTCTCTCTCTCGCTCCTCGGAATGCTACAGCTGCATGCTGTCTACAAAGCCAGAACATCTGTGGAAAGAACTCTCTGGAATGTCTACCGGATTGACTGACTCAGCAGCTTTACAATAAATCTGTCTTTGCACAGCAGCAGCAGCAGCAGCAGCAGCACTGAGGAATAGATTGCAATGCATTAAGGCCATTTTGATTCTAGTATAAGCTACGACCTCGGGGGGTTTAAAAGCGTGTTCAGGTTTTGGGTTGTCATGTTCGGCTTCGTGCTCCTGTCCTGCAGCTTAAGAAACCGTGTTAAAGTCATCCCTGTTGTTGTAATTACTGTAATAGTAGCAGGAAGGTCATGATAACTTATTAACATGTCATAATGAGGTCCCTGCCTTGTTTGACATCAATTATAATCATCCTGTAGCCTCTTTCAGTCGAAGAAAAAAGGGTTTCAACGTCCTCGCTGCACCCTATTTATACCCAGGAGGGCCAGAAGGGTCCTGTTTGCATGTTGCCTCCAGATGTTAGGCTAGCAAAAACATGTGGTTAACAGTCAGGAGACGATCCTTTTTATTGTATTCTTCTATTTGCCTAATGCATCTGTTGAATTATGCATTCACACCACATGTGTGAAATCTGCCGAAAACTGCATCCACCAAACAAATGTACCTACGCTTTGAGAGTCATTTACAAACCAAATGTGTTGTTTTTATTAAAGAGAAAGGCTTAATAGCTGTAAAAATGAGGTTAGGTGAGCCAGTGTTGCAGATTATAGTGAATGAAAATTACTATTTTTGTGACCAGTTATTTGATAAATAGGACATGAATGCATGTTGTGAATCCTTACTGAACTAAATGTACCTTCATATATGGTTTAACATCCAAAGTGATACATTTAGTTCTTTACGTCTGGATTGATTCCCTATAAACTCGATCTGATCCATAATCCATAGGTTGTTTCAGAACCAAAAAAGCCTGTTTAACCCAGAAGCAGCTCCCTGTCAAAACAACATCTGATTGTTGTTTAACTGACCTTGAGTCCCACTCTTTATTCCCCAGAGAGCGTACAGGTGGTAAACACTGTGATCTTCTTACAATCCATGGCATCAATACGCTGCTCTGCTGTGCTTTTAATATTGACTGGCTGTGTGTTGAATTTCAATTTTGTGCTTCTGAAAGATTCCATCACTTTGTTTTGCAGAGTACGAAGATGCTAGTTTGTCATCCTGGGTTAACAAGGAGCGCTTCCAAGGATACCTTCAGATCGACGGCTTTACATTGTATGAGCTCGGGGAAACAGGTATGCGTCAACAAGTCTCAGTAATATGTTCTTCACTCCACACATTTCTTTAATCTTATTATGACTTCAAGTAACACATTCATATAGTAGTCATGTACGCAGGTGTAGTCTAATGTAAGGGGTTTAACAAACTGTTAATCAATTCATTCAATGTCTTCAAAACCCAAAATATATTAGTTACTTTAACACAAGACAATACATGTAAGAAATGCTCTCATTTTAGAAGCTAGAAAATGTTTTTTCCTAAAATGTAAATTATTTTTCTTTCGCCTTTTAAACAACTGATGGTTTCAGCTCTATTGTATTTTTAAACGTCATTCATTTTATTTTGCCCTTTTTTACTCATTACAACAAAAATCATTGTTATTACACTGCATGCCGTGAATAATGACAGTTAGAGGGATTAATGATTGTGGTCTTGTAACAGTGGGATCCCTGTCACATGTTATTTATGGACTTGATGAACTGACAAAGTACACAGGGACAGCCGTTTGAACCTCTTTTGACTTTGAATAAACAGTAAGAATAACGGGTTACGTGCATTCATGCTACCATATTTAACAAATGATACATGGACTTATGCAATCATGTGTAATGTCACTATTCAGCAGGTTTCATGATCAGCAAAAGTAGTTAAGATTTGAAAATCTTACAACAAAAATGTTATGAAACAAAAACTCATTTCTGGTATCATAAAATCACCAAAATGAGTTTGCTTTCCAAAAAACGACGCACCACAGATTACTTGAACGCGGATGGAGGAATAACTTTTTCAAACCGTCTTGGTTTTGGTTGTTTGGTTAGCACCAGAGTTTGATCGACAGCCCAAAATAAACCACCCTCACCGGGAGAACTGTTTGTATTAATCAATCTGAACAGGTTAGGTGTGAAAGCCCCCTTGACTTGCTCCTGTAAAAAGCTCTTTGTACAAAATACCACCATTAACTGTGGCTATGATAGCAAAGTCTATCACTTTGAGGTTTAGACCGTGTTGCTCTAGTGCTCAAATGTGCATACACTATCTCTCCCACAGGAAATATAAGCTCGAGTGAAATACAAACTGTCTCTTAAACGGCAGTAAATTGATGCTCAGCGCACAGAAAAGCGGTGCTTTCTAATATTAGCTGCAGCATATTACTTCTTTATGTGCAGTTGACTGAGAGAATTGACACGGTATGGGCGGTTGGATTTGTTGCTGATGTGGCTTATTAAAGATGACACAGTCCGTATCTTCAGCCTAAATAACATTTAGATTAAAGTGACTTTGTGAAAACAGAGCAGGATGTTCCAGTCTTTTCAATCAAGTGTTAAGTTTCATGTCCTTGGGCTCATTTTGCCGTGCAGGAGAGACATTTTAAAGCATCGTCCCACACAAGTCTGTGTCCATATGTTCAAATGGCAGTGGGACTGAAATCAATGAATACTCTCAAGCTGTAATTTAGATATTTTTATGAGTCAAAATTGAAGGGACAGAAGGCAGACAGAGGCAGGCGTGGATAAGTGGCTTATTGAACATCTATTTGACAGATTCAACGGTTTTGTTTTCTTTGTGATGTATAGGCAGATTAGAAGGCTGATTTTCACGGGCAGAGAGTGGAACGTTTGTCCGATAACAAGGAAAACAAACCACCCCTTTGGAAAAGACACTACACAGCATCCATTTAACAGCATTGTTAAAGTAATGTACAAAACCACAGTGAAAGAGGGTCACGATTACCCCAAAAACAAATACAAGTTTGACTTTTGGTGTCAATCTTTCTTAAGATTTGTATTGAAATCATCAAATGTTCTGCATAAAATCACTGAATGTGAAACACACAACAGTCAAATCGACTCACAAAACGGTCCATAAACCTATGAATTAGAACATTTGCTGGTCCGGTCTATAAATACACTTTAAACACATTTAAAGAAATATGATCAGGCGAGTTGTTAGAGGGATGTCTTGTGAATTTGATTACAACACTTCACAGTGAAGGGTGTGAGTGCTATTGGCTATTTCTTCAAGCTTTTACAGGAATACCTTTTAAAAATAACTGTTTTAAATGATTATTCATACACTAGAGGTCTTAGAAACTGAAAATCTATGGGTATTATAAATGTTTTTTTCACTCAAATAAAGTCCAACAAAAAAAGCCAGGAAAGCCAATCGAATCATTGAAGAAGTAGTCCCCTTTTTTTAAACCTTAGATGTTGGCAATGTATTCAGTTGGAATGAATGTGGCTCATTGGGTTCTGTAGTTAAGCAGCATAGCAGAAGGGATCTATTTTTTAAAGGATCCACAACAACAGAACATTTTGTGCACCTAGCACTACAAAGAGTAAATTATGCATATTTTTGCAGGTTGTATTCTCTTGAAAGAAAAACAGCATACATAAACAATTTGTTACTGTATTCATAGCCACAGAGCAATGCAATCGAGTTTTATAGGAATGATGTGATGAGTTGAATATTTAGGAGTATTTTCCTACTTTAGCTCTCTAACACATCATACGTTTAAATGTTTGTTTCTGTGGCTTAAGCTTCTCTTCCTTTTTCACAATGCATACCACAATCAGTATCTGCAAGGTGACATTTGTTATTTGTTGTCATGATACAAGGTTGTCCAATTCCTTTACATAACCTCAGGCCTGGCACCCATTACTGGCCACCAGGGGGCAGGCTGGTACTCTAATCCGAGAAACAAGAGGTTATCTAGCTTACAACCAAGTCAAACGAGTCAACACACCTTTTGAGTTGTATAATAGTAGACCTATTTGTCCGTTTTTATTTTTGAATGGCACAGAAAAAGCTCTTCCACCAGAAATTGACCACTTGTTCGACCAAGTAGAAAGCCTAAGCTAGCTTAATGTTCGAGTGGTGATTGAATAAAGCGATCTCTGTCTTTCTCCTCTTCGGTGGTGGAGAGGAGATTTTTCTCCTCCAGAGCCTCTTATCTGCCTGCCATTGTCTTCTCACCTTCTTTCTGTGTGTGTGATTAGTAATCCCTGTCTTCCACCACAGGCAAATTGGTGGCGATAGCAATCATCGATGAGAAGGACCCCACAGAGGATAGTAGCAGGTACAAAGAACAGTGAAATTTAAAAAAGCTTGGCTCAAGATGAATTGCTTCCACTGTTTACATTTTAGTTCAAGTTCCTTCAAGTGTAAGATAAGACTTGCTGTTTATTGTTTGGATTTTTCCACAAATTACAGGCATCCGTCTGAAGAAGAAAGAATAAAGGTTAGACCTCGACTCATGTGGTGTTCTCTCTCCCTCTTCTCATTTGCTTTTAGATTAAAGACCTTGATTCAGAGGGTGGCGAAGGAATACAGAGAACATTTTAACAGGTAAGGCACGGATACGCCATGAGGTCAAAGATGAATATAAGATTCATACATTTATTCGCGGATGGTGCACTCACTAGGGAGCACCGCCTGTCTTTTCACAAGCAACTTTACGCCTTTGCTAGGGCATGCCTGTTATCTCCGAGTCTCAGTAGAAAAGGTAATTATGCAAAATGTCAGCTTCCAAATATAGGTGTTCTTTTCAGCTGTCAGTCAAAAACTCAGCTCGCTTGGTATAACTGCATAATTTTCAGTTTTCTCCGGCTCCAATCGTGCAATAACAATTGGATATGAGCCTTTGTGTTACAGTTCCGCCTTGCTCAACCTGTACACTCACCGGAGAGGAACCAATTAAACAAGGCTTTGAATACAAAGAGGAAATACACTTTTAAATGTGTCATTTCGCAACTGTATTATAGTTATTTTCGCTTTTAGTGGACTGTAAAGGTTGCTAAGGCAGACGGTAGAAAATGGAGATGATGCAAAAGCACAGACACTTAAATGTTCAACTTGAGGCTCCTGAAACACCTGCTGTGATTCAGTGTCGGCAGCTAGTAAAGAAAACATGTTGAATTTGAATCGGCTAAAGTCGCTGTTCTTTAAAAGACCATCTTTTATCACTCCTTGAGGGGCGAAAGGTGACATCCTTTAAAGGATTAATAGAACAAAAAGTATCACATCTTCATCATTATGTTGCGTTTAAGTTCCTCACTGTGCCCCGTCATTGACCATGTTGCTTCATCAGAGAGTTTTTTTAGGTATATCTCTCAAACCGCCATGATCAAAGCGTTTCTCTCTCTCCAGGCATTCCCATTAGGACCGATTGAATTACACAGCTCCCTATCATCTATTGAACTATTATCCGCCACGCAGCTCTGTGCTGTTTTTTTGTTGTGAAGACTTTTGAGTTTCGGAATCCCTACTGAGATCAGAGATGCCTGCAGTGCTCTGACACACCTAAACGCTACTTGTAATTACAAGTTCTTCAGCGGCGCCCCCGGTGATGGGCGGCGGCAAATCATAAAGTCAACAGATCACAGGTGCTGACTGACGTTTAAATTCGTCGACGTCGTTTGATGCAGTCATATGTCGTGCTAACATTTTGACAGAACAATATATGTAAATCAAGACCTAGTGTGTGTGTGTGTGGAAAGGCACTTGACTACATCACACCTGTGGGAAAGTCAGTTAGTGGGTGTGTTGCTGTTGAATTCTGCACCATTCCTTATTGTGTTGGCATTTACGTGTGACATTTGATGCAACAAGACTGGACAAGATGAAACCTTGTTAACTGAGAGTTTCTCACAAACGCTAACCTTTGACTTCCTGTCCATAACCTTTTCCACATGCTTTTACCTTTCAAAGGCATTCAGAACATCTTAAAGCACACGTTACCTTTTATGTTTTAAAAGGTTATATTTATGGAATCCACAGGACTCCATTCTGTAGTTCTCCTCAATGCTACAGAGCTTCATCGTGTCTTTCAGCATTTTGTTTTGGCTTTCTACTTGGCAACTTTACTGTTTTTGTGCTGTATTAAATACAAATCCCCTAAACCCAGAGTATGCTACCTGCAACTGAACAGCCTGATATCTTTGAAGGCCAAAACAAAAGCTAAAGGTATGTTTATGCCGTTAAACTTTTCGTTAACACGTTTCTCTCATCAACTTTACAAGGTCAACGTTGCATTTACATTTTGTTGTGCTGTGATTGACCAAAATAAATAAATAAATATTGGTATAAGAATATTTTAAAGCTACTACCCACATGGTAGTATTATGGATAATACCCAGCAATGCAAGCCAATACCCTATCCAGGCTTCTTTTTTAAACAGCAAAGTGTGCTCTCTGGCCATCTGAGTTATTTGAAAGATTTCTAAATATATTACAGAAAGTTGCTTTAATATATTTAATATTGTATGTTGTGATCTGTGTGTATGTGATTGATTTCTCTTCCTATACCCTTGTGTTTGTTATATTTTTTCAAAAGATACAGTTTTCACACGTAGTGTTGAGAGCTTAGAACTTCATTGTGATGAATGACATGGTTTTCCTTGAAGACCATCATTGTGTATTATAAACAACCTTCTCTATGTTGGCAATATAATGCTGTTTACCATGACACCCACTTTCCCTGGAATATAAATTCTGTAAATCTGCCTTTAGAAAACACTCTTTTCATGAGAACCACATGGCGTGTCCGATAACGTCAATAAAAATGACATTCAGTGGTAAAAATCCACCGAGTTAAATGAGTAGCAGACACTTAAGCATTTACCATTGGGAACATTTAGCACAAATCTCCAACTCTTGTGCATTCTTGCTCCTTGCCTCTTCTCACATAAACGTTTCTCAGTCATTTGACTCGCCCTTCTTGGCCGGTTTGCTCAAAAGCCTTGCCAAGAAATGTCAGTGGGAGTGGGAAAATGGACATTCATGGGAAACGCATCTGTGAATATTGTTCGAATTGATAATGTAGAGGAATTCACATTTTGTGTGTCCCAGAAGTTGAATATTTTTGATGAGCTTTATTCCCAGTCACTATTGTCAGCACTATTAAACCTAACAAAGAGTGATGTAATATTGCCTTTCACTGGAGTTATGATATAGTCTTCATAATGGTGTCATTGATATACTGTAAGGGCAGGCGGCATTTTGAAGCACCCTGGGGGACAAAAGCGCGAGATGTAGCTATAATGCAATACGAATATAATATACATGTAGAGGCCCTATAATCAGTCATTCAGTTGAAGTCACTGGCTTTTTCCTGGACTTGTGCAACCGCCTCCCCCACACTTTCCTAGTCTTCCCACAATACACTCTGCCAGACATACTGCAGCACAATGAGATACAAATTGAATTCCTCCTACCGCCTTATCATTTAGATAAATCACCTGAGTCTTTTCTGTGGTGGGGGAAAGATGAGGAGAAACGGTAGACAGCAAAGGACGGAGCTTTGGGGATATTTTTTTTCTTTTTCTGCCATGACAAAATCTAATTTTTTCTCATAGCAGAAACATGCTATGGTATTCAAGGTGCTGTCAAATTTGTGGGTGTAGGTTCCTATTTTTATGGAGTCCGCTAAGGAAGGGAAAAATGCTTTGGGAATTGTGCTGTGTTGCATGTTTATATCAATATGTATTATCATTTATGACAATGGGTACCAAATGCCGAAAAATACATAAGAAAGAAATAACATCAAAATAATACAAAATAAATACTTTTAAAAAAAGAAAGGAGAAAATATGTATGTTGTACAGTACGTTGTTTTTGCTATTTGCTCATTCCACTGCTTTGTCTTCCCTCTACAGAGACTTCCAGTTTGGCCACATGGATGGGAACGACTACATTAACAGCCTCATTATGGGGTGAGTGTTTCAAATCCAGCCCACCTCTCTCTTTTCATGTTAGCCTGCTCTTTTTCTTTACCTCATATTACCTTCTGTCAGCTACTTATGCAGCGCGGGACTGACTTGTAATGCCAGCCGCTGCCATTAAAGATGCTCTCTTGTGGAGAAGTCAATTACACAAACTGTCATTTCTTTTTGTAGTGCTCTTGGAGATATAAACCCCCCCCACCCCCATCACACTCGCATATGATATGAAAAAAAGCTTCCCACAAATCTGCTTGTGCAAGTACATTATAGTGGGTGGATTATATGAGGAATATACGGATAAGGCTATGCATGGATTAGATCTATAGCGGCCATGTGTCTTAATAACTTGTCAAAGGGCAGCACTAATGATACAGAGCCAAGCCGCCTGTTGGTGTGTTGGGCTAGGAGGTGGGGGGGCCTGCTGCTGCTGACATCACACACTTTTAATTAGACAGAACCCCGCTAGTGTTACAGGGCTGTAGTAGTCGGCGTGTCTGTTTTGTACCCACTAAAGTACAGTGTCTAATTATGTGTGTTGTGTGTGTGAGAATCTCTGAGCGTAATGGACCGCTGCAGGATGTTATTTTAATTTGAGCATTTTATTGTTTGTATAAGGGAGATTACAGCAGACACGGTTGTTTAAGTCCTGTGTAATTAAAAGTAGCGGTAAGTACAGTAGGAGACATGTTGGAAATATTACAACAACAGACTCCTGGTGCACGGCTGACACGAGACAGGCACCGTTTTGTATTGTAAGAATAAAAGAGGTGATTAGCCTTCCTAATTTTGTATTAGTTGATACAATATGTATTTGCCGGGCTCTCCAGGACTGGATTTGGCTGCTGTAGCGTGGGATTAATTGCCCTCCTTTGAGGAATAAAATCCTGGCCTGTCGATGGCCACTAATTCTCTCCCTTAGGAGGGCCAGGGAAATAAATCTGATGGCTTTTTATCCCTCTTTCTGTCATCACAGCGATTACTGTGTTCTGGCAGCCCTCTTTCTGGCGTGAGACTGCCCCTGCTTTCACCAGAGGCACATGGAAACACTCATGAATCCACACATCCACACATATACAACATGAGCACCACTCTAAGCCCAGGGCTGCCTCTGCATCTGTCTAAACGTTGGATTATCACTAACCCCTTATATGGAATGCGTTGTGGGCTGTAAAAAAACCTGAAGAGATGTGAGGTGACTGAAAAGTCTATGTGAAGGGGAGAGTTGTAATCATAGAATGTGAATGAGTACAAAGAACACTGTAATACCAACTGGCAATGTGTGACAATTGCACGTTTCAGCTCACAAACAGCAGTATAAATACATTTAGTCTACAGATTTAAATATACAGTATTTCATCAAAAAGTACCAAGTTGTTCTTTTTTTAGGTGGCAGATTGATGGTCCAGATTTTATGTCTCAGTGCATCCAAAATATATGTTTTCTGGACACATTGTGATAATCATTATTTCTGTTTACGGTGAGCTTTTTAATTAAGTCCTCTTGCAATAATTAAAGCCCAGAAAATGCCTCCAGTAACAAAAACGTGGAGAAGACAACATTAATGAATTGCTGATAATGAACCAGTCTCAAAAACAACAACATTAAAATACCCCAAAAGGATTGGACTACAAATAGTTTCAAATTCAGATTTTAATATTGTTCAGCAGGATCAGCTTTAAATTGTTTGTGCTTTGTGTTCCTATGTTCTGTGTTTATGCTTCTTATCTAACTCTCAGCATAAAGCAAACCACTGTAGTTTTTTAAGGAAAAGTGCAATTATGCTTATGCTAAGCTAAAGACCTCCTGTTTTGTACTGTACTACTAGACTGTAATATTGGGGTGTCATGATATACAAGTATTGTCAATAACATAACCCAAACATTATATCATGTTAGTTATACACGCATGATAATATTGTGTTAATAATCCAGCGTATAATAAATATAAATAAATAATAATAAAGTGTGCAAATATGGTTACAATCCCTCTACACCACTAAAAATGTATATATTCATAGTACAATAATGTTGTTAATAAAATCTGATATTGTGACCGCCTTAAGATTGTTCTTTTAATATCAAAACAAACATGCATTAAATCCGAATAATTCTATAATGATAATAATAATGGAAAAAGATAATCCCCCTAATTATACAGTATGGCAGCTGGTTTTGGCAGTGGCAAGAGAAATGACTTGAATATGTCTTTCCTGCCAGCTATAATTCTATACAGTACAGTATATGAGCCTTCATTATGGGTAGCAAACCCCCAGCAGTCACCACCTACAGAGGTGAATAGGCTAATCCATATTTACTTTAAATGGGTGCCATCTGTTGGAGTGGGCTGGATGTCAGGTGTACTGCGCCCTCAGTGTGTGTGTGTGTGTGTGTGTGTGTGTGTGTGTGTGTGTGTGTGTGTGTGTGTGTGTGTGTGTGTGTGTGTGTTTCTCAGCTGGACAGGGTAGTGAGGCATTGATGACTCTTCCGCATTGGCGTGTGTTTGCACTCCTGATCGCAGCATGGGGACAGTGATGGATGCGTGTGTGAGCAATTTGTTGCCGGGTTGAGTAACACTGCAGGGGTGTGAGGTGTCGTGATGGACCGTGTATGTGTGTATGTGTGTGTTCTAAGCATTGGGATACCTTATCTAAGCCAAGGGTTTGGTGCTGTGCGAGACGCCGGAAGAGGGATTGCCTGTTTATATGACCTTGTTCGCTATCGCACTGTGTTTTGTAATTCCTCTGCTGATTTGTGGAAATAAGTGGACTGGGGAGTGTGCAGTGTCTCTGTATAAGTCTTGTATGTGTCTCAGTATGGATGCTTTCCTCTGGACTCCCAGCGATTCACTTGTCAGCAGCAATTTGTAAAGGTCTCTTTAACTGTGACCGTTACAGACCCATAAAGCCCCTGAGTGGCGCACTGTATGCATAAAAGATAGAAGAAATGCCACTCTAAAATAGGCCTTCTCCTTTTTCCTCAGACAGAAAAAAAACCCTCCTCTCTTAGAAATAATGCTCATGGGAAAAGTTAGGTTGCTCTGAGTACAAAGGGTTTGTTTATCTTGCTATTTTATTCTCTCTGTTGCAATCTCCTCTTGAAAGGAATCACAATTTGTTCCCATCTAATGATGCACTTTGATAATGGCAGTCCAAGGCGCCGGGGTTAGGAAGATTAAAAGCTGTGTTTCCTGTCTTTCCTCAGCGAGGTGACGGTGCCCTCCGTTATCATCCTCAACACATCCAACGAGCAGTACTTCCTGCCCGGCGAGCCCATCGAGACCATGGAGCAGCTGGTCCAGTTCATCAACGGCGTTTTGAACGGTTCTGCACAGGTCCAGATCTTCTCCTCTTCCCCCCCTCCGCTGCTTTCTGTTTATGCATTCAGCTCAGAGTAGCCCCTTGCCCTCCCTTCCCTGCATGTTGTACCATTGTAATCACACCAGTGGTCTCCATTAATCAGGCATGTTGTCTTGCATTTTAAGTCCATTGTCCTAGCAGATGAGGCATTTTTTTTGTAATCTCCTTTTGCATGTTTATATTTCATACGGTTGCCCTTCCTGAATGGATTACCTATAATAATTTTTTCAAACACTGAGATTAAACCATAACTCTGTAATCTGGAAATAAAATGTCATCTCTTTCCTCTACTGAAGTCACCACATGCATTAAACCATAAGCCAAACAGCCAGAGGTCTTGTCCTATTCTTTCTTGGAAAACATTGACAGGACCTCTGGCTGTTTGGCCCGGCTATTTTTTGCTTGGTAAAACAAACCTCCTCCCACCGAAAAAAGCAGCCACGGAAACCTCCATGTTTCTGCAGTCTGGTTGAAACCAAGGACAGTTTCCGTGTCTTCCTGTCATGCTTGTAAAATCTACCATGAGGCTTGTTGGTGCTTCATGTAGAAATACACAAAGTAATGGACAATGGACAGAAAAATTGTAAAAGCTAGATTTCATGGGCTTCTTATCCTTTCTTGGGGAAACACGAAAAGCTGATTTATTTTTTTCCTGTTGAGTCCCGAACAATACATTTGCATAAATCTCCCATGCTGATTCTAAGGGAATTCCTAAAAAAAAGCATCTCCTTTTCCCAGATTTCTGCTCTTGTGGTAAATAGGCAAGCTTCAGTTTCCCGCTCTCTATCCTTTGCAATAAGAAGGCATCTACAATGCCATACAAATGTTTGATAAAACTTCTCAAACTACTTATGCAGTCCTCGCACGGCATAAACATAGGTTTGTGCAACAGCTGCTTCCACGAAAGAAAAAACACATCCCATTTCAGCGCGCTCACTGCAGTCCTGCTCAGTCAGTGCTCACTAATTGGCCATCCTGATGAATTAGCGCCGGGACAGATCACCCATTGGCTACCCAGGTGCTGTTGCTCACAAATGAGCTCAGACAGAGAACTGCTGGACTGAGTAAACTAGAAGCTGGTCATTTGTGCAGAGAAGCGGGTAATTAAACAATATTTTAAATGTCTGGGATGTACTACTGACCATTAAGTCCTGGATAACTGGGAGCATACTGCGTGAGTAGTTTGAGAAGTTTTAATTGACAAATTGATAATTGTTCTGTTAATTAGGGATTGTCCCTAACTCCTTCTATCAAATGGTTTAACATATAATACACAGTAACTCATCAGAATACCTTTATTAGTCCCACAGAGGGGAAATGTACGTCATCCGTCTTTATTAATTAAATGGTGTGTCTCCCTGCAGGCGAATGGAGGTGACGGCTTCATTCAGAGGATCAAACGTGTGGCCTTCGATGCCAGATCCACCATTATGGTAAGTTGTTGAGTTTCTTTTAAGTAGCTACAGTACACGAAGAACATTTCCCAAGCACAATGTCACTGAAATACAATAATGTGTCATATCATAATCATATTATTATTTGGTTATTTAGGTTAGGTTCATTTAAACCAAACCAACCCAGAACAATTTGCACAATAGCTCTTTTGCACAATTATAATGTATATTCAATCCAATGCCATTATGTGACGATGTTATATTTCTATATATTCCTGTAGCCTAGTGAGACTACTGAGTACTCAATTTGTCTTATTGTATCTTTTAACTTGGGTAACCCTTTACAATGCTGCTGGAACAAAATCATTTCCTATTTTTTGGATGAATAAAGTATATATCTATCTATCTAATTGCAAAATAGGTCAAAACATGTTCCTCATCAGAATACCGCATCATGAGTTTCACTGAAAACGGCAATAGAAAATATTTTAACAAATTCAGGTTTACCTTTTTTGACTCGATTAAATCTTTAAAACTCACATATTTCAGATATATTTAGTTTTATTTTACGAGTTTATTTTGTGTAGATATTGGAGAGGGTATACATATAGGTAAACTGCCATTCATTGAATTGTATGGCCACTTGGAATCAGTGCAATAAAGCCTACAAATAAAGTTAAGACAAAGCTAATAAGGCAATTTGTTTGACCTAGCAACATTTGCATAAATATGGAGTTGAGGTTCTGAAGAAAAAGCAATAATAGTGAACAAAGAAATGACATTTGTGGCCAAAACAATGAGCTGAAAGATTCTAAAACACTCATAAACTAAAGACAAACCACAAATTCAGGTGAGATATCTTTTTAAGAGTTTGTCTGTATGACAATTCACATTACGCTTTGTCATTGGTCCACTGTTGATTAAAAAAAAAAAGTATTCCTGAGTATCAGCCTAATATTATTATTCCCATCTTGATTTATTACGGTAACCTGCTGCCCAACCCAAACACCATTCATTTTTACGATGCTACTGAACACCTTGTACTTGTTTATATGCTTCACACCATGCCTCACCTTGTCAGTGTTTGCCAATTTAGGTAAAATACTGTATATTGCAAATGCCCAGGTGCCCTGCTCTTTCCCCGTCCAAGAAAAACAACATTCAGAGGACAAGACTGGGAAAACGGCCCAGAATATGCAATGTAGGCAGAAAACACTTTACGGAAAAAGAGAATCAGGAAACACAGCAGCAGGATGAGGTGGAGTGAAGACAAGTAGACAGGGTCAGGAGGCTGAACGTGCTTCTCCTCCCACTTTGACTCTAAGTACTTGGTTCTTTTAAGGCAACTGGTGTTTTTTTCTTTCTACTACGGGTGTGATGGGAATGTAAATACAGCTGTGTTGTACTGTAACCACAGATAAAGCTGTCCTTAAAGGGATGTGGAGAACTCTTAAAGGAAAATTATAGATGTTATTCTGGAAGAGGTGGAAAATTGAAGGTATAGCGACTTCTAGAAGTTGACCTTGAAGTGAGAAGAATGTTTTTATTGAATGTTTTAACTTTTAAGTTGTCAGATCCGGTTTCATAGTTCATATCAGTGGAACGTTTTTATACAAAAAAAAGTATTCTGAGCTGTATAAGAACAAAGTGTGCAGGGTTTTATTTGTTTCTCATTAGCAGCTCCACAAGAGTAAGTAACCTACATTCGGAGAGGGCTTGTCTTAAACCTTTATTTTCTTCTTCCTTTCTTAAATGTGATGAGATGCATGCATCAGCACGGTGTCTCGATATGATACGAAGCAGAAAGGCAGCAGCTATCACCTTGTCCCCGGAGAGCCTATCTGAATGCACATCTGACAGGAGCATGAGGAAGCAGCCACATTAACCGCTATGACTCATTGCCAGCTGTGTTAGCATAGCATACCCATCTCTACCTCATCTAGCATCACACGGCACCGGCAATTACCATCCCTCTTCCTGTGGCAATGACTGGAGGCAACATGAATATTTCTCTTCTTCTCAGCTCGGTGCCTGACAGAAGTTGTGACCGAATACTCCCTTCTAGGTACATTGTCTCTGATGTATCCTGCTATACTAAAGCCAAATGACTCATTTGTCACCAAGATCATTTAAAGAGGAAGTTGTCCTTCAGTGACTCGGACATTGTTGTGCCCGCGGGGATGGTGTTTCGCGGTAGTGGAGTGTCCCAGAAATGTTACATTTTCTATGCAGGTTCAGGGAGACATGGATGTGATTGAGCTGTTTGAGCAGTTACTGTATTTTCATCTATCTGATCCTTGGGGATTAATGCAGAGACACTTTCATTTACCGGAAACTAAATTATATTGAGTCTACAGGTTATAGGTGAAGAGGAAAAATATAGAATACTTTATCTTACTGAAGAAAAAACGGTCATTCACAACATATGCAGCTCATATACACAAAGCTACAGATGTTTGTGATTTATTTATTTTTTTACTGTGTAGCAAGGACATGTAAGCCTATTAGAACAGAATTATCTTCAGACAGACTTGTTTATGAAGTTGGTCCTCTGCCTGAGTTTGAAAAAGTGATATTTCTCTCTTTATTTCAGTTCAAACTGAATGTTCAATACACCAAAGGATTACAGATAAAAGGGTAACACTCTTCAGTATGGTCATCAGTGTAAAACAAAATAAAAGCAAACAAGACAGCACATTACAAGACGGAACACCACAGTGTAACATAATACAGACATTGCGAAAATACATGAAAGAAATGTAATTAATGCTTAAATATTAAAGCCTGCTCGAGTTTCTGCAAATGATTTGTGACCTGCCTTCTAAACACTCTCACAAAGCTTAATGGCAGAATGCAAATGAATGAATAAATGAATGAATAAAAAAAGCACAGTCTCCACTGAAACAATAAAAGGCTGCCTGCAATTTTTCTCACAAACACATTTGGATCTCTAAATAGGATTTTGAATTCACTCAACCCTAATAGCTTAGGCTCTTTACTCTTGTAAACACTGGCTGTTTAGAGACACGTAACCCTTTTATTAAACAGCCTGATAACTCACTTCACGTTTGTGCTGTTTTATGCTAAAGACACACTGTGAAAGAGACACAATTGTCAGAAAATTTATTGGCAACTATTTGGATCTTTTAAGTGAAAAATGTCTGAGGACTTTTACTTTTTAAAGAGGAACAATTATGCTCAATTTCAGGTACATATTTTTTGTATTCTGTGCCTCTACTCCTTTCACCCTCTGTCTGAAACCAGAGCCCAGTGTGCTCTGATTGGTTAGCTGTCCGGTTCTGTTGTGATTGGTCAACCTCTTAGATATGCCCCTCCCTCACATACAATGTGTTAGAGCACAAGCCACAAGAAGTGTGACTGTTACACAGACGTCACAATTATCATTATTATTATATAATTACAGGATTAAACAAAGGATTCCCACCATGCATTTCAGGTAGAGTGTGTGGGAGAGAAACTCCCTCTGGAGGGAATTGCGGATTTGAGCCTTTGCAGACCATTTACATGCACCAAAACATATAGAACACACAACAAGAAAGGGAAAATGCCAAAAAGCATAATAAGGCCTCATTAATATAGTATATCATGTAGTGCTTTTGCTTGATTATACTTGCATACTTTTAGTTAACTAACATTTTTCATGCAGCCTTTCACTTAATAAGATTAAGCAATTTAAAGGGTTTCAAGAAAATTGCAGAGTCCATTCTCATAGTGGTTTAAGTAAACAAGCTTGGATTTCTTTTCTTCTGAAATACATTTAATCGTGCAGCAAAATTATAATATTTTCTCTCTTCTGTGCTTTCCTCATTTACTCCATTATTTCCCTCAACCCATCCCCATTTATTTTCCCTTTTGTCTCCATATTCTCCCTCACACGTCCCCTTTCATTGTCTTCCTTTCATCTTTTGTCTCCTGCTCTCCTACATCAGTCGGTGTTCCGCAGCTCTCCGATGCTGGGCTGCTTCCTGTTTGGCCTACCGCTGGGTGTAATTAGCCTGATGTGCTACGGCATCTGCACAGCCGAGTCAGATGATGGCTCAGATGACATGGATGCGCTCAAGAGGGAGGGCCTGACTGATGAAGAGGAGGAGGACGAGGAGGAGGAGGACGAGGAGAGGCAACGCACCGCTGAGCTGGAGGGCCCCGAAGACGAAGAGAACGAAGAAGACGATGCAGGGGAGAAGGATCCCGAAGAGAAGAAAACCGATTAACATAGGGGCTCCCACCGGAGAGAGGATGAGAGGCCTAGGCAAATGCGGTGACATGAAACTCAAAGACATATCGATGTATTACTGTTCTGCTTCTTTGTTTTTCATATCACTTCCCCTCGAAGCCCCTCTAGCACAGACTGTTCTCCCATCTTCCAGTTCTGTGTTTAAGGCCAGCTGCTGAGAGAAGCCATGTTTCACAATAAAAGCTTTTTAATGATGGAGTTTAAAACATAATGTTCAAGAGAAGGAATGACTGTGAATCAAACAAACCACTTATTTATTACGATCGACCAAACGGTGGTTTATCCTTTGATGTTTGACCCTTTCCCATGTTGTTTTGTTACCACTTAAATGCCCCTATTATGTCCTTTTTTCCCGTTTTTTTCTTTCAGAATCCATTTCTTGAATACATCTTGAAACTGAATACACAGAATAATTTAGTTTGCTTCCTACCTTCTACCGAAAGTGATAGATTAAAGTGTGTAGAAAAAGAAAGTGCCCAAGAAGGAACATTTGCCATAAGTCTGTGCTTTTTTGTTTTGTATGTTACTGCCTGAAAATAATTATTCTGTTTCTTCTACTTCTAGGGGTGCTAAGTGCCGAGATAGTCAAACAATTCACTTAATTTCAAATGCCAGCTACCTGTTACTGTCTATTTATGAAAATAGTTGATGAAAAAACCTAGTGGTAATGGCTATCAGTCTGTCTTATACTAGAATATGGCATATGGATATTTTTTTCAACATGAAACCTGCTCAGAATTCCTTGCGTAGAAGGTCTGTACCTGTACATCAGACAGTCATAACATGCATCAGTAGTTCCTGCAACTTTTAGCAACTCATATTGCTCAGATAGACTGGCTCTTTCTGTTTCCTTATTTCAATCTGTCCTCCATCACTGGCTGCTATATTGAATTCAGTAGGCAGGTTGAAGTTTAAATCCTCATGCACTGAGATGTACACTGAGCGTACAAAATATGAAGCCTGTCTTCCTTCTTCTTAGTTTCATTGCTTTGTGTCAGTCATAACCCCATATTGTTAGTTTTCTCAAGGCTCAGAAATCAATCTCAATCCTATTTTAGTTCCCTCATGACTAAAGTGTATGTTGTAGCTTGAATCAAGAAGAGGTTAGAGCTTGCTCTCGGATTCTAGTAGAAAGCTTATTTCATGAAAAGTGCACCCAGTGTAATACCATTTTATTTTTTTTAAATGCACAGTTGAGTGCATCCAGTTGGATTTTGGGGCTCCTGAGAACACCTTTCATTATATTCTATATTAAAGGTAAACCTTAAGTTAACACGAAACTCAGGTTGCAATCTTAAGATTTGATATACAGTGGTTTCCATGGAGACAAAAGCATGTTTTCATCAACTGTTAAAAGCTCACTCGTGATTAGTGCATTAGCAAAAATAAAAATGCTTTAAAAATATTTATGCTTATTCACTTTTTGCCAAGCTTTATATAGGAAAGTTGAAGCCACTCGTGTGTCTGAAGGGAAGCATATGAACCTAGTTTTAGCAGGTGGTTAGCGTAGCTGAGCACAAACACTATGACTAAGGGAAAACAGCTATCTTGATTCTCTCAAAAGATAATATCACTTACTTTTTAAAATTACATTTCTTTTTATTGTGTAGAATTGGTGTGTGTTTTCTTGTTGCCTGGATACTGACAGGGAATAGCCTATCAGGAAGTCACTACACCTGCACATTTAACTTGGCTAACCTCCAGTAAAGCCACAATATTTTATACAATAGTTTATACAGTATTATACAGATTAAACAAACAATATAGTATATTCATTAGTGAGCTGGTTGGCGTTTTTTTTCTTTCAAATATTTAATCACAGTCAAAGATTTGTTTCACCCTGTTTCCAGTCTCTTTGCTAAGCTAGGCTAAGCTAATCAGCTGCTAGCCCTGTTTGTATATCCATCAGACAGACATTTAATTGTTATCGGCAAGTAACGGTTCTTCCTAAAATGTCAAACTATTCCTCCAGAGTGGTTTGCCAGATTATTATTCACTCTGCATTTATTTTACATTATTCATATGAAACATTAATTCATTATATTTAACATACAGTGCAGCAGAGTAATTAAAAGTTTGAAATGTGCAATGACAGTTTATAACAGGCTTTCCCTCAAGGGAACTTTAACACATGGTGATGAATGAGCATTAGCTTCATCCCTGACCTTGGGAACTGTGGCATGACTAAATCATTCTTAACTCTTAGTCCACATCTTAACTTTAGCTTGAGCTTTCAATCGCTTCTCCAATAGTCACAACTGAACTCCTATATAGACTTTGACTTAAGATGATCTTTTGCGGTTAGTTCTACATGTTTTAAGCTGTTTAAATCAATATCGTGAAAGGGTAATCTTCAATTCTCATACACGTTAAAAAAAAAGTGTACAGTAGCTGAGTAATACACTTGACGATTTGTTATTCATTTCATTGTGCTTTTATAGTTCAGTAAATATTGTAACTTGATCAACTTAGGAACCTCAACCTAAGCACACCTGTTGTTTTAAATATACAGAAGTTATCTGTATTGTTACTGTGAAACTGCACTAAAGGAAACCATGCCCACGCCTTGCCTTCTGGTCTTTGTAGTTGCCTACCATTCTCTGCCAAACTTCCTCTTTGGGTTGGAATTGAGATTGTCACACTTTATTACAGGTTTGAAAGATTGAAATAAAGATTGTCCTCTTTTTTTCTGGTCGACTGTTATCTTTTGTCCATCTCATGTACATATTCTTTGCCCGTTTTCCATTTAGACAATCTATTTTTCCATCTATCTCCAATTATCACACGTATAAATGTGTTTTCCCTCCATCGACGGTATAATCCTACGTAGAGGTGTCTCAATTATAGCAGATATAATCACATTTTTGGAGATCCCGGTTAAACCGCGCCTGATTGCTTTACTTGATGTGAAAATCATTTATTTCTTCTCTTTAGGGAATGACAGCGTTCTAAAGTTAAACTTAGATAGGCCTACGTGACTTTACATAATGAAAAATCACCAAGTCCCAGCGTACTTTCTAAAAGGCCTGACCCTTACACAATTTGAGAGAGAGAGAGGAAAGAAAATGTTGCTTTTGTGAAATTTGATAGGTTGTTTTTCAGGTCTGATAAAGCAGGAGAATGTTCATTTTCCATTGTATGTCATTTAAGGGATAAATTACCGCAAAGGGGGAGATAATATATTACTACATCAGAATCAGTGTCATTGAGTGGTGCTGATGCAAAAAGTAATTCACCGCTCAATTACCTCGCTATATATTCTGCGAATGAGTTTCATTGCGTGGCAAATGAAGGAGGCCTGCTGTCTCTTTTCTATCGGAGAAGCAACAATCTCATGCACTAGACAAGGGCAATTACACCTCGCTTCTCGTTCTGACGTAAAGGCAAGATAGTAATAATAGAGGTGTTTAATAGTGGAGGGTTGCGTGGAGGGTCAAGGCAAAATGAGAGATGGCTGGTGCTTGGAGCATGAGTTTTTCAGGGGAATTCTGAGCTCCGTTTGTGTCACTCAACAATGGCTTATTAGCTTTGCTCACCATGGAAACGAACCCACACTTTTTCCTCTGTAAGGCTTTGCTGATCCAGTTAGAAAAGCAGTATTTTTTGCATTACGGCTGATAGATGACTGCAGCTGCTAAAGTCCGTATGCTGCCACAAATACCTCAACGCCTAATTACACAAACAATGTCGGTAAATTGGACCTTTTCAGATGTCACCTCCCCACAGTAAACGCCTATGTTTATGTGTTTATTTTACCCTTCAGTGGTTATTTATAATTTTTCTTAGCTCCATCAGCCTATTTTTGGTGATGTGACTTCACATCAACAGTTCAACCGGGTTTAATGGCCGCTTGTCAGCCGATTGATGGTTGTTCTAGCTGTTGTTATGACCTGACATTTTTTTGCAAAACTTTTCCTTTGGATTGTGTGAAATCGACTGTGGGAAGAAGCCCATCAAAGCTGTCACAACTTCTGGATAGATATCTGGAGGATAGTAACTGTCAGCTGAAAAGAAGATAAGAACAACACATTCAGAGTCCAATTTACACACTGATAATCTACATTAAATATTGACTCTTGCAATAGAAAAAACATACATTTTGGAAACAATTTTTATTACAATTTCAATCATGATTTCAGTTTTGACAATGTGCTATGAAAACCTAAACTCTCCATTAGTGCTCCCTGGTGATAAAGGTCACCACAAAATGGCCACACTGCATACAATCACATTATGGCAGCCCCCTACTGTACACTGCTTTCCTTTCTCTCCTGGAACATAGTTACAGAAATAGAGAGAGTACAATGACATTCCCATTCAAAGCGGTGGACATTTTTATGTGTATCCTTCTTTTGACATTCTAAAGAACTGTGATAATTGAAGCAGGCATTCCATAGCATATGGTCAATACCTGCACTTCTTCAGTGCTAAACAACTTTTTAAAACGTTTGCAAATTTCCCCTCTGTGGGACTAATAAAGGTATTCTGATTCTGATTCTGTATATGACCACGTTAAAGTGTTTGTACAATCTTGATTCTTTTTCTCAGCATACAAATCTTTATTCCAAATTCATGGTCCTTTTAAAAACAGGCTTTGAAGATGCAATATGGTTGTATCACTTATATTTAGAAGAAACAGCTTGATGTAAGCAGATAACTTACACAAGCAGGACTTCACTGTTATCCCCACTTCGCCAATACACAACAATTACACTTCCTTGTTTCTTAATCACATGTGACTAAACTAATCAATCAGAACAAAGGAGGCCTTAGGCTTAAATATAGGAAATACATAGAGTTAGACTCAGAAGAAAATGGCAACTGTTTTAAAGTCACTGATATTACAAAATATACTTTAACACTACAGTACATTTAATTTAGCTGATACTTTAACCCAAAGCGACTTACAATAAGTGCAATAAACCATGAAGATACAAATTCAAAGATACAAAGTAACTCGCATTACTCACAACATTACTGAGTATAAACCTAAATATTTCTGATTACTTGCTATGCGTAGTTGCACTTGATAAACTATGCTAAACTTTGCTCACTGTTCAAGTGTGAAGCATGGTAAATGGTCTATTAGAAATGATAAAAATTCAAGACGAGTGCAGCTCAGCGCTGCATCCAAACTCCATATCTTGGTTTGTGACAAATCTTGATTTTTAGCTGAAGCGTACAAATGATGCAACGCTCCGCAGAGAATAACAAGTGCATGGCTCATATTATCCCTGTCACCTCTAAAAGCACTGTAAGCATTTCCCTGTTGAGTGTTTCTGCTTATCAATCTGCTGTCACACGGCTGCTGCCTAATGATGTCGCCCGGGTCGTGATCATTTACTGAAGGGACCTGTCTCCTCGGGGGGGTCAGGGTGACTTACAGTACCTGAGATGTAACTGTTATGGAGGAGGTGACATGAGCCTGAGCATAGCTGCTGTTGCCGTCACTTGCCAGGGGCTAGATCCCTTCTCCAACCTTATTACCCAAAGAGCTTAAAATCAGCTTTCAGAGTCAAGGTAAACCACGGGTTCATCGACACATGGATGAGGGTGTGTGTCACAACCTTCCTAGCATGAGTTAAACTTTAATCTGATCCTTAGTCCTTCTACTCAGATGTCTAGGGATGTTACGTGACTGGCCTTCTGGGTCCAGAGCTTAGGCTACTCCCAGCTTTTAATGATGTGACAGTAACAACACCCACACTCAACGATACTTATATTGCATACACACTGTTTTGCAGCTCAAGCAGCACATTTGAAAGGGAGAACTTGTGGTCTCTGAATCCCTTTAACCCCTGAAAACGGGATAACTCAGGGAATACTACTGGAGCATGAGGAGCTGAGCACGAGATTGTGTGAATAAAGTGGGATTTATTTAAGTTAAGAGCTTTTGCACATTAATCCCTTCAGGGCATGTCTAGAACATTTTGATGGGACATGCTCAGAAGAGAGGGCCGTGTTTATATGGAATATATATCATATACTGCCCTATAGACCTGATCATAAAACAATCTTTACATCACTGCAATAGAGACAAGAATCAAGTTTGGCTTGTTGTGGAGAGAGAGATATGATTTAAATGTATTGGTGGTCTTTAAATATTAATGGACTACTATATCTAATAAACATGTAGCTAAAAGGGTATACATGAGTTATGTTTTAGTTTTAATTAGAGCTGGACCCACACTGGTGTATTAAATTATTCATTGCCCGTTTAGCTTTGGATATTATCCTCCATAAGTTTGATCTTTTATATCAATTGCAGCGTTTAAGTGTCAGTCTTCTTATCTTGTTTGTACATGATTTGTTCTGGATTGATTCTGTGCTAAACACACACATTACACGACCAAATATTCACAAAAATTAATCTAAACAAATAAGAAAGATGTAATACTTATGTTTAACTGTGAATACAGAGGAAATAGGAGAAAATTAGAGAAAAAGGTTTAGCATTTTGCAAAATAATCACATTTGTCGCAGACCAGCCAGTCTCATGTCTGCTAGCTAAACATAAAGCTAAAGCCAGGATTGGTTCGCCTGACTCGGTCCGAAGGTGGTGCTTGCAGGAGCAGTGATTTCCAGAAGTAATCCACCATAAAATAATAAATTCTTTGTATATTCAACAAAAATAGCCTACAACATGTTAAATATAGGTGCTAAGCGGAGCCAGGTGTCACGATCTGTCTGTGTTGTGTTTTTTCTTGTCTAGATCTGTCTTTTGTTTTCTGTCTGCGTTTTGTTTTGTCTTGTTTAGATCTTTCCTTGGTTTCCTGTCTTTGGCCCCGTCTCAGGTCGGTTAAATGAAATCCTTGCTTCCCTCACTTGCGTCGTTTCCCTGTGTTTAGTCCCTCCCTCCAGGGAAGCATGGAGGGACGCAAGGAAACCACGAGAAGCAGGGAAATGAGTTTTAAGAGCAATGGGACGTCCTTTCCTCCGGAGCGTCACGTGAAGCGACGTCTGTTTGTGATGACGCCGCACAGCTGTTCGTCTGACAGCAGCTCTGTCCCCGTTATTTTCACAAACACCCCTGCCACACATTTACTGACACACACATTTGTATCATCTGTTGTAGACCCCAATAAATAAAATCAAATAAGAACTAATTCTCAAAAAAGATAAACGCCTTTCTTAAAATGTATAAACGAACAATAGTTTGATTAATATTGATTATTAGTGCACAATAGAAATAAAATAATTGAGAGAAGAAAAATATATATATTATCTATCAAAACCCAGTTAGATTAACAGTAATTGGATTGCACACTTTGTTTGTTTGTGTGGATATGTAGCAAATTAACATTTTAATAGCACTTAATGACTGACTGAATGGAAATGACAGTAAATGAAAATATAAAAAGAAAAAAGCGATCATGAAAATGTTTCCAATAAATGAATAAAAAGATTTTTGACCACTTTGTTGTTCAGATATATCACATATTTGTAACTAAATGATACATTAATTGAAACAAAACACAGTATAAACTGAGGAGTGACTCCTGTGAGGTTCAAGTATTTTCTTCACTCCACTGGGAAACTGCTCTCATAGTGAATTAATTTCAGTTTTCCGCACTCTCGCGGGAATATCTCCGCAATGGAGCGAGCTTAAGTTTCACTTTCGATTGCTTAAAATACCTAGCCATTCTTTTGCGGTTATTTTGGTGAAAGTAACTAAAAAGTAACTAAAG